TCGAATGGATTCGATTTTGTTTGGACGTTCTGTAGCCTCAGTGCAGACGATTGAAGATAATATTGATCGAAGAGCGGTTTGTAATTCTTATTGTGATTTTAAATTTGAAAGTTTGAAATTTCGATCTTCCTTAGAATTTTCGAGTTTCATTCTTTTGTGTGTTCTGATGTAGTATTACATTTTAAATTGAAAGTTCAAAAAAACGAGTGTTTGTTGAAGTCTGCTTGAGATATATCATATATCATATCATATGCGAAGTTATCCATAAAATACAGCGTAATTTGGTTTTAAATGCATTTACAATATTTGTTTGGAAATTAAAATTTATTAAAATGTTCAGTAAATATAAATATATTATACAATAATTACATAATTAATTTTCACAATAATATAGTATGTAGTTGAAATGGAGGAAATTTAGGTATAATTTCAGTGCGAAAAGCAAATTGAGAATCTTTTACGTGATATTGATACCACTCGCTCAGAAATGAAAGCCATGCATGCTTTTCTTGAAAAATGTTCTTGGGAAATGGATCCTGATATGAAACCTTCTATGTGCTTTAAACATAACAGTGAGGAGTCGTTTGCCCAGTTTATCTCGAGTCTTAACCTACAAGATGTTAGGAAAATTTTTTTTCTGTTAGGTAGGATGTAAATTTAGATACAAAATGTTTTAAAGTTTAAATGTTTCATCTGTGAAATAGATGGCTTCATTTAAAGTTGGGATAGATATTTGAATGCATATTGCATAGTGGTTCACGTTTGAGATCTGCATCTATTTTTTTTTTGTAATTGACTACTGAAGCACTATTTTTTTCACTCATAGAGATTCTCCTTGCTGGGACTATATCATAACGCAGAAAATCTGTATGAAAAACTTTGCAATCAAACACGCCAATTGCTTTCATTCAAAAACGAGTTGCATAGGTATGATGTTGAAAATGGGAATGTATTTTCTTCGGATCAAATCAGTCAGCTATCACATATGAATGTGTAAATATTTTATATATTAACAACTAATTCTGTTCTACAACAAAAGATTTATTTTTTGACTTCTAATTTTTACTAAAAATAGTATGTTTATTGTAGTCGCACATCTTTTTTTTATATTGGTTGGATTAGAATTTTCGCTTGATTTATCTGTCATAAGATAAAATTGTTTTTATTCGTAATTTACTTTATTTTTAGTCTTCAATGTGTTGGATGTGCTACTTCACTTGTAATTCATTGTGTTGCATTGATTGAAGCTATTTGTACCAATCCACAATGTTTGAAAGAAATTATCCATAAGGACTTCATATTTGGCAGATTGGTATTATCTTCTTTTCAAATTTAGACTAATTTTTTTGAACGATAGCAATATAAGTTATAGTTTAATATCACGAATAGATCATATATAGAAAAGGAAATTTCCCTTTTATATTGCTTTTTCTTCCAGGTGTTAGCATGTAAAGTAGATCCTCAAATTGCACACAGCATTCATACTTTATGTTGGAATCTGCTGGAAGCTGACGAAGAAGCAATGCTTATAATCTGCAGACTCGTTCAACAAGAAATTTTGCCTGCACACATTTTAACAAAATCCATATTTGAGAACAATTATAGGTAAGTTCTTGATCTTACCTCACTTTTTAAATTATAAATAAAATTAATTCTTCAGGTTTCTAGAGCAAAAATTGCGTTGCTTATTGCACATTGTCATAAATGGTAATGGTAATTCAGAAACTGATTTGCAACTCCTCAACGCTCTTCAAAAGATATGTCTCAGTGAAAAGGTTTTAATAGTACCGAATCAGATGTCTGAAAGTTTACTCTCATCTAAAAAATCTTTCGGTAGCGGGTCAAATTTTTGTGATAAAGGAAAGTCGAAATCTAATTTGACTACAGCACGCAAAACGCCAAGCCATAGAATTTTACCTCAACTCTCTTCATCCGCCAAAGAAACTTTTAATATTTCCAAAAAAGTTATGGATACCAATACCAAGGTTGGTGATTATTGAAGTTTAGTAAAGTTTTCGACCGCTTTTTCTCATTTCTCTATTTATTTTTTTGTGACTTTCAGCATAATGCGATCGTTAAATTGTTGGCACTTAATTTACAACAAATAGATTATGAAAAAACTTTTGACATGGATTGTAAGGAATTTCCTCTGAAATGTTGGCTAGAGAAAAGGTAATAACTTGAATTTTTCTCAACGCTATGGTCCCTTTTGGTAAAATATTTTATTTTTATTTTAGAAGCATAGAAATAGCATTAAAATACAATTTAAAAGTAATTTTCAAAAATTTTTGATTTCTGCTAATGATAAAATCAAGTTTATTACTGCGTTTCACTGTCTATATCTGTCACTGTCTATATTTTAATTTCAATTAGAGATTCATGGAAATAAATGTAAATTTTTCCATGTCCAATCTCATTGGCCTTGTCAAATTTCTACATATTCTAAGGCCCTTGGTTTGGGATCTTGATTTAAGGCATTGATTTAGAGGGTTGTTTTTACTCGAATCAATGAAAAGTTAAAATTCTTGTCGAAATATTAAATAAATTTTAATTATTTAACTTTTTAATTAACAGAAATGAATCAACTGATGCTGATGATTATTACCAGGGAAAATTAAACAATGATGTCAATGATGTTAGTAATTTTGATTAATTATAAAATTAAACCAAATTTGCCTTAATAAATTACAGTAATAGTACTTTATAAATATTATCGTCCCGGATGCGTCAAATATAATAGTTGGAAGTCTTTGATTTATAGAATAGCCGATTTTTATTAATATTAATGACAGACTGATTCGTCGTTACGGTGTTCAGAAAAAGTGAAAAAAGAAAAACGATAAGTAAAAGATAAATAATAAAGGAAATAAATAATAAACGGAATAATGAAATATAATAAACGAAATAATGATTTGAAAATATTTGAATAAATTATTAAATGAGAATAAAATGAGAATAGTAGAAATATGTAAATAAAAAAAGCATCAAATATGAAAAATTAAATGATTGATGAAAATTTAATATTTATGGCAATATAATAAAAGTAGATTCTGTGAAAAGTCATTACTGATGGTTTAATCAATAAGTTGTTGAAACGAGTCGAAATCAAGGAATAGCGTAGTCCCTACTCCCCTATAGCTAATTTGTATATGTGTATAATATGTATAATTTTTAATTTTAAGAAATTAGATTGAAATAGAAAAATTGATTTTTTAAAGCCTTAGATACGATATAAAAGCACAAAAGATAAGATGTTCTAAGAACGAAATGAAAATAGTTTTAATGAGAAATTGGAGCCTAATTTAGCCAAGAATAACACAACCAAGGAAGTAGTTGGCCGAAAAAGGTTAAAAAGGTTTGGTTTAATCATTCAACAATGAGAACCTAATTATCCCTTTCATTCCCTTTTTTTGCTACTACATTCTTATTCAAGGTTTGCTGGTCAAGCATACTATCATCATTTTCCATTGATCTTGTGAAACAAAGTTGTTGCTCGCCTAAAAATCTTCAAAGAGTTTATGTATAACGCAATCAAAAGTCTAAATAAAGGAATTCAGAGAAATATTTAGAGTTTGAGATTTTAAAGAAAGTGGTAATTGATGGGATATAAAGGAAATATAGAATCTGAGGAGAGAAAAGAAGGAATTGACTTTGCTATTAAAACAAATTGTATATATATTTTTAAAAGGTAATATAAGAATTTTTATTTTTAGAAACTTTTATTTTTGAGAATTATTTTAAGCTTCTTTTTTTTGAAGAACAATTTTGCAATGGTTTTTTTATTCATGCCGAATGTTATAATAATAGAAAAGCAGAGGAAATTCTTAATTTTTTCAGGCTTTATCTGTTTGGTTGAATTCTTGCATGTTTTCAAATGTGGCAAGTATTCGTTTCGCTGCCAGTCAGCTTTTATTATACCTTTGCCTTTATCGCGATTCTGATGGTAAATATGAATGGGGCTCACCAATGGATATAGGATATACCGTGGTAAAGTAAGGGTTAAATGATGATTTCCATTCAGTGAAATATAATTATCGTTTATTCATTTTTATATTTCTGTTGTACTAAAATTAGAAAATTAGACTGAATTTAAATTTTACATCAGTCAGCTTTAAATTGAAATTTTGCATATCTGAAAATAATTTACTAATGTCCTTTCGGTAATATTTGTTTGTGTGCTTTAGATTTAGATTTTCCAGTAAATATACAAATCTAAGGCATTTTCTTTTATTTTTTAAGGGCCTTGACAATGATGAATGAAGTGCACTTACAACCTGCTAATCAAATTGATGATTACTTTAATTTTATGAAATTTTTGGCTGCAGATGATATGATACGATCAATTCTCACTTCAGAACCTATTCTTCTTCATTATTTTGTTGCTCAGAAAATTTTAGAGGTTTCTATTTGCCTATATATATTCTTTTCCCACTACACTTTTTACTTTTTTTTTGGTTTGATTTCTGTACGTTTTAATTGATTGTTTTGGTTGCTTTAATTTTTTTTGCGAATTCAATACATATTTTTCTATAGTATTTTCTAATTTTCAGGAGTGTTTAATAGCTCGGAAAATAGAAATTAATTGCGAATATATGGACCTAACATTTGGTTGCCTTTTGTTTCGCTATATTGGTCGGTTTTGCTCATTTTTTATTTGTTATTGATTTGTAACTTTTTAATATATAGTATTTTATACCTTTTAAATTTATAGTAAATTTATAGTAAATGTTCATATTACTAGTATTGTTTCCCCGCAAGAGTAAACCTCTTCAAAAATCCGGGTGGTGCTGGCGATTTACCTGTACTTCTGTCATCAAGGAACTCCCTGATATATTTATCTGCTGCGATAAATAAGCGGAGCGAGTTTAACCTGTAATGATGAGAACTCTTTAATAAAAAAATATTTAGGATGACTTTTTTTCTTAAATTTCAGTATTTCTTATTAGATTGTTTTAGATCTTTTCAAAGAACTGGTTGAAATAAATACTCCGAATTGGAATATGTTGTGTGAATGTAGTGAGAAAGTGTTACCACTTTTGTTGCGTTCTGATTTTGCTCTAGTTGGCTTGATTGCTAATCGTACCAAGTAAACTTTTTTTTTGATGAAATTTTTTGAAAAATTCTGAACAAATTTGATTTTCGTTGTTATCCATTCGCGATCAAAAATGTCAGTCGCGTCAGTTTTTATTACTATTATTGAACTTGTGAAATTTTAGCTATATCAGCGAGGCATCTGATGAACTTGGATTGATTATAATGCGAATTGCCATTAAAATACCTGTCTTTGTCCTCCAGGAGATTGTGAAACAGCTTTCGAAATGTGCAGCAAATATTAAAATCCATTGTCATGCTGTTAGGATCATAAGCAATATTATTTATCCGCTAATCAAGGTTCGGAATTTTTTAAATCTTTTTCATTAATATAAAAATTTATTATTATCTATCATCTTAACATTTTAATTTATCTTGAGTATGAGTATGAATTTATCTTGAGTATAATCTTGAGTTTTTTCAGAAAGAAGCAGATTTTCTTATACAAATTGAAAAGGATGCTTTACAAGAAGATTATCTACAAGGGCGAATGGTTGGAAACCCATATAAAAGTAGTGATCCAGGATTAGGTCCTCTGATGCGAGATATAAAAAACAAAATTTGTCGGGACTGTGAATTGGTTGGACTTCTTGATGACGATAATGGCATGGAAGTTTGTTATTTCTTTTTTAATTTCGCTCTTGGATGCATTTGAACATTCAGTTGAAACAAATTTTTCAAATTTTTAAGATGGTTCAGTGCCTTTAATATGTTGTAGAACTTTTAGTTACTCGTTGCTCGTCAAATTATAGCACTCGATTTGAGTGTTGTGGAAGTGTATGAAAATTTGTGGCGTGATCAGCACGGTCCACGGCCGATGGTCATCGTTTATCGAATGCGTGGATTGCTAGGAGATGCTACTGAACCTTTTATAAAAACTTTTGCAGATACCAAAGGTTTTTAGTTTTCTTGTCTAGTTTTTTTTTTTTTTCATTTGGAATTAGATAAGATAAAATAGCGAATTTATCAAATTCTATCAATTTTTAAATACTTTATTTTTAAATACTTTCTTAGTGTTATATTTTTTGATTTTTTAAATTTTTATACAAAAGTAATTTGATGTTTCATTAATTTATTACTAATTCTCACTAATTTTTAGGGAAGGAATCAGTAAATTCTGCTCAATTGAGATTAGCATCAGCTATAGGTGATATAAAGAATAGTTTTGAGACAATTCTTATATCTTTGGATACTATATCACTTAATTCCGATGGTAAAGCCTTGTTGAAAGAACTGCAACGACTTGTCGTATATTGCATTAAGGTTAAATTTTCAGTGGCATATTTTGTAACTTTATTATAATAACAAAGTTTGCTTCGATGTTAAATTTAGGTTTTGATTTGTTTTATCCACATTAAATATATAAAATATATATAAATATATAAAAAATAAAATAAGTCAGTTGTTAAGGACATATTTTTTTCTTGAATGCTTATCATTTTTAATTTAAACATTTCTCCGTCCAAACTTGGTTTTATTTTATTGAAATAATCAGATTTTAAAGATAATGGTTTAATTGATTGAGACCTTTCAGGTGGACAAAAATCGTAGACTTTTGATTGAAAGTGGTGGTATTCGTCGGTTTCTTCATGTTTTTGAGATGGCATTTCGCAGTGTCATAAAAGATGAAGAGATTACAACTATTGCTTTGCAGTTTCTGGAGCTTAGTAATTCTCTTTTGACAGACGTTCTTGCTATGGATTTAGGAGAAAAGGTTCTTTTTGGATTTTCCTTTGAAATTTTCGATTTCGATTATATTTTACCATCGTTTGAATAAATTATTAATTAAAAATTAAAATCATAGAACATCTTGTTTAGTCTCTTGGAGGTGCAAGCTTCGAACAAATGTCTTGGTTGCTAGAAGTTTCTATGAACACAGACAATAATATATCTGGTCCTCTTTGGGAAGCGATTACTTCGATTGTTCCCAATTTATGTCTGGGAAATTCTGAGAGTATGGAAGCTCTCGTTAAAACTTTCAAACCTTGTTGCCAGTGGGACCTTCTTGGTATGTTGTATTGTGTTATTATTATTTTTTAATAGTAAATTTTTATTATTTTACTATTTTTATTTTAATAAGAATTAACCACTTTCGCTACAATTTTGCTAAAAATTTTAGATAAAGATCGCGCGTTCCGTGATGAAATGTCAAAGAAATTGGATACTTTATGTAAGATAACCAGTGCAATCGATTCATCGGCATCTGGATGCATGCTGAAGAAAAAGATGTTAGATGCAGGGTTTATAACTGATGCATGTGATTATTTACTCTGCAGTCATCCTCCTCTTTTCAATGTTTCTGTGGAAGGACCTGAGTGGAAACATTTTCTAAGCAAACCTTCACTAAAATATATATTGAAACTGTTTGCTGGTATGGCGAATAATCATACTCCTTCCCAAGTCTGTCAATTTTTTTATCAGTTTTTTGAATTTTAGAAGTGAAACGAGTCCCACAGTTTCCTATGATTTTTTGTAGTGTTTAGTAAAAGTTTGATTTTATTTTATTATTTCAACGAATTATACACTATTAAACAGGAAACTATCGCAACCAAATCATTGCCAATTCTTCATCGAATGGAACAAATCGCATCCACTGAACATATTGGCACATTAGCAGAAAACGTGATGGAAGAACTAAAACATAACTCATCAATTGCTTCTGAGGTAGTTTTTTACATTTTTTTTGAACTACATGCCATTTTAATTTATTGTCTCGACTTTTTAGATCGAAAAAGTTCGGCAAGAGACAAAAGCAAAAAAGCGCCAGTTAGCTATGGCTATGAGACAAAAGCAATTGTCAAAAATGGGAATGGAAGTTGGCAAAAAAGGACTTGTCACTGTATTCGCTTAATATCATTTTTCTAATAATAAAAACAATGAAAAATTCTAAATACAATAATAAATTCTAAAAATCTTGATGAAAGTTTTTTCTTACCTTTTTTGTAGAAATTTCACTTTTTTATTGCATTGCCCATATTTCCATAATTTCCAATTTATTTTATTTATAAGATTAATTATTAGATTAATTTATTTAAAATTTTTCAAAGATCTCTCGAGCTTTGTTAGATGAAGCGGGAACTTCTGAAAATGGTTCAATATCGTGCTGTATTTGCCGTGATGCTTTAGATGCCAGCGACAAAATTATGATGGTTCGTCAATGATTTTTTCGTCATCGTTTATTGCTATAAAGATTTAAAAAGAAATGCAAATTGCCAATAAGTTCATAGCATTTTTTTTTAGTTGATATATTCTTTATTTATCATTTTTACTGACTTAAATTCGCCTAAAATTTTTTGAAGATTTGTTTTTGATTTGATTTGTTCGATTTGTTTTTTATTTTATTTTTATTTGTTTTTTATTTTTTATTTTTTATATATTTTAATATTATATTATTTTATATGTTTTAATATTTTTTTCTGTTAATAATGAGAACTCTCTTTTTAATCTTGGGCTGTTCATTGTTCCTACTAAGTAGGTTTACGCTTTCGCCATTCGCAAAGAGTTGCGAAATAGTTTGAGTGGTCGAACATTTGTATTTTCAACCGTATCACATATGAATTTCGTACATATGGATTGTCACTGTACAGCCGTAAGGTTATTTTTTCAAAATCTATTATTATAAAAGATTGTGCTTTTCTTAAAAACATTTCAGATTTTTATTTAATCTGTTTAATTAACTAAAAATTTGCAATTTACGTTTTTATGGCCATAATTTGGTTATCTATTTAGGATAGCATCTTCGCGTGATGAGTGGTCTAGTGCAGCGTTACATAATGCTAATACAAAGTGTAACATAATTGTGCCAGTGTGGTCGAAAAACATCATGGATTCGGAAATGGAGAATGGTCTTAAGAGGTCTTCAAAATTTTTTATTTTAATAAATAAATTATAATAAATTATAAATTCTCGTAGTTTTTTGAAGATTTTAATTTGATGAATTAGTTTTTTATTTTCATCTTAATATTTGCTCTTTCAGATTGTCAAATGATATTGGATCAGCGGTTGGATCTACTTTAGTAAATATAGATACGATTTCTATTGATATAGCCGAAATAGTGGATCGTTTTGTGAATTATCGATCCTTTTCGGAGCATTCACATGGTGGTGGTCGAGAATCAAACGTCCAGTATCTCATAGTTCTTCTTCTCTTAACCTATTACTTGAAAAAAGCATCAAATCATGTTATGGCTAGCCCAGAATCGCTTGCTCACTGTATTTGCAATCATTTAATAACGGCCACGCTGAATTCCTGGAATGAATGTCGTTTTACTCTACTCAAAGAAATTGCAGACACCAAAAAAAACTGGGCTGAAGCAAAGCAATTTTTTCTCATGTGGGCTTTCGTTGATTACTTTCAAAACAATTTATTAAGTGTAAGTGTTTAAAATGAATGTTTTGTTTTAAAACAATTTCTTTTTTAATACTATTTATTATTTATAATTTATTATTTATGTAGTTACAATATAAATAGTTATAATATCTTTTATTATGCATTTTTGGTAATTGCATTTTTTATCATTTTTTCAATTTGCTTTTATTGAAAATGTATTGATCATGTGGAAATTTTATTTTTGTTTGAGGTCAAAAACATGGAACGAACAGCGTATTTACGTGAAAATTTAGCTTTATTATTAGACAAATGTTCAAAATTTGTTTCATATTTTGATGAAAAATTTATGGATTTATCAAATTTCGATAGTTTCGAAACAGCAGCAGGCAATTCCTTTAATCTCATTTTCCCTTATTTTTGCATCTTCGATAGATGTTCATTTATTATTTTCATTCAGAATATTTATTTTTAAAATATTTGATTTCTAAAATAATGTCACAGAAGTTTTTTTTCTAATATCGTTTAGTTATAATAGTTATAAAATGTTATAATTTCGTTTAGTTGTGGTGCTTTTAAAGTTTTAGATTTTTTTCAGAGTTTTTTTTAAATGTTGTTAAATTATTGTAGATAGTAATGCAGGTAACTGAAGAATGTTCTTTAAAGATTTTTATATAACTATTCCATACATAAGAACTTATTTATTTTATATTTATAATTAAGTCGAAATCACCATGCAGCATATTTCAGGCTTATCAGCTGATCAACTGCCCAATGATTTTAATGTTCAGTGAATGAAGTTATATGCATTCATAGTTCCGTTTAAAATATGGTGAATGGTGGTCCTTTATTTTTTAAAGTTTTATCAAAATTGATCTTATGTAATTGTGTTTCAATAAGTTCAAGAACATTTTTTTTTCAGTTTTTAAAGGAAGCAATACACTTATTTATGAATAAGTATATTTGTTATACTCGAATTTATTGAAATTTTTGGATTGAAATCGCTGCACAAAATTCAAAATTAATTAAAAGATTTATCATTTATCATTTAGAGAAACTCATTTGTTTAGGATTATTTATTCTCTTGAATTTTGCTTTGTTTATCTTTCATAGGCAGTAAAACTTATTTGAATAGTTCAGTTAACAATGCAATGTGATTTTTAATTACTTAACTTTCTGTGAATAAGAAAATTTTTTTGTGAATTCCATTTTATACACAGTTTTTCATTTTCTCTTAATGGTTGTATTTTTATTTGCAGCGATCATTCTTATTTTCAGTTGTGAAAATTTTCAGCTACTTTGATAAAAGGCGGTAATTATGGAAAAAGTGTTTTTGCCTTTTGCACTATAATATTCATGTTTTTTCGCAACATTGCAACATTTATCACTCTTCTCCCCTATAAAAATTCGTAAATTTTTTGTATTTGAATTTTTTCCGTTTCTAATAAATATTATACACAAATTTGTGAAAGCCTATTCACTAATTTTTCTTATTTCTGTATCTTTTGTATTATTACAAACTTATAGTTTGAATTTGAATAAATTTATTCATACAACATACAACAATTCATACAACAATATTGAAATGCAAAAATTCTCCAAAAAATAAATCGGATATATCGAGGATTGAAGTAGTTTTTGAATGATTTCCGTAGAATCGTTCTTTACTCAGGAATTAACTGGCTTTTCCTTAAATTTTTGAGGAAGAGAAGAGCAATGTACATGGTGGAGCTTTACTTTTTAAAGTTTTGTCGATATTGATCTTATGTAATTGTGTTTCAATAAGTTCAAGAACATTTTTGTTTCAGTTTTTAAAGGAAGCAATCGCCACGAACCCTTTAGATATATCCGAAATATAATTTCTAAATATAATAAATAGAATTTATAAGAAATATTAAGTTACTGAATTTATTCATTTATGCTCGGTTTATTTACTTTTTTCCAGTTCGAAGTTCAAGATTCTTGAAATTCACAATTTGTTTTTTCATTCGTCAAAATAATTCGTTAGTTACGGGAAACGAGGTCACCTGTTTCAATAAATCATCCTTTCTGCGGCTGTCTTTATTGCACTGTACTATTAATAATAATCAAGATTATTCGAGCAAAGTATATATTAGATGCAGAAGTTTACCATAATGCACTCACGGACTGTCGTTCATGGAAATTAGGTCGGAATGAATGCTAATGGATGTATCTTCGGGGAATTCTCGTTTTTTATCGACTTAGCTGGATATGAGCATTTGGTTTAGTTATTCCATGGCCGAAGAAAGATTTGAACTAGAAGTTGCTTAAGATAAACTGTCACACCTGCATCTTTGAATATGGCAACGAGCTGTTGATTTTTCGATTAACCTTTCTCAAAGGTGTATTTTTCTTTTAACCTCTAAAAATTTATAATTATATGGAACTGTATTTCTCCTTATTCAGAAATGGTTCATTCAATAAAAAGTTTTTAGAAAACCCGTATTTATCAAGCAGATCGATTTATTCGATTCGTGTTTGCAATGTTTCTTTAATGAGTGAGGTTGGCCTTGAACTGCATAACAATTCGTTTGAATTTTGATAAAATAGTAGTTTTTAGTGAGACGAAATCCGTTATTAATGGATGATTAAATCGTCAAGAATATTTTTGAATGAATGTTTTGTGATTTGACAAAATATTTTTTTAAGCAGCACAAATTATTTCAGACAAATTATTTCTGAGTTGTAATTTTTCTTTTAACCTCTAATTTTATTAGCCTTATTAGCCTCACCACCTATGCTCTGGGCAAAGTGATAAAATGCCTAAAAAAATTTCTGAAAAATAAAAATAGATGGGCATGAATATTTGACGAGCTTGACGAATGAAGATAATATGTGGCCAAATATTAAACGTGTTGCGATTAATTTAATTCAGTCGTAATTCCGTATTCCGCAGGATTTATAAGAATTTCGTTGTTTTACTGTTTTTTGTTCTTTATTTAAGAAACGTCGGAAAAGATGGCTTCTATTTTTTTCAAATAAATTTCTTCGAGATTATTTGAAAAAATCGGTTAATCGATTCGGCTTTGTATAGCTAAAAGAAACAAAAAAAATACAATTTGCTTTTCGACTGTAATTTTGGAAAAATTCCATCAAACAGCCTTTTTCTTACAATGAGGACCATTGCTCGTTAGATTGGCTTCACTAATTGCAATTGAATGAGGCTTTTCAAACAATTAATTCAATAGTTCGCTTTTATATTGTAAAGTTACGGTAAATTTGGTGTAAAAAGATTTTCAGCGTTAACGTGTACAATTAATTTTTTGGATATAAAATAATAGTTCAACGATATACATGGCAAAGATTTTAGATAAGTTAATCGCTCGCTGAAGCAATATTTTATAAGAAATATTTTATAAATGATATTAGATAAAAACAGACAAAAAGTTGGCTTTATTATTAGCATATCTTTATTGCTATTTTTTGGATATCAAAGTATAAATATATATAGAAAGTCTTTTCCCGATTTTTCGCAGCAGTTCTAGTCGCAATTTTGAAAATGAAACGAGGATCGAATCGAATCAATCAACTTTTTTTTGACGGAATACTTCAAGAAAATTTCCTATTCAAATGAAGGGTGATTTATCGCTCGTTTAAATAATATTTCTTTTATGGGGAAAAGTTATTATAAGGTGGTTAAAAATTTATGATAGAAATTAATAAATCGTTTCAAATTAATCAGTTGGTGAGGGAACTGTGAAACTGAATATGGCTGGCATGGCTGGTCATCAGTAAAATTTATTGCATAAATTTAAACTAATCGAAAATTTTTTAAATGGAATCTCGCCATTTGGACTAAAAACTTCATCTACAAGCTTTACTTTAGTATTCTTAAACATCGAAGCTTGAGAAACTTTCAGCTTAATAAATCGTCAAATTTTAAAATCTCACGATCAAATCAATTCAGTAAAAAGGAATTTTTAAGGAATTTTGGTTTTTTGCGAAAATTCTTTCAATTTTGAATATCTCGAAATCAATTCATATGACTTGGATAAGTGATTATATATGACTAGGCGAAATCGAACTTTTGCAATCTTAACAATGATTAAAGGTGACGATTTCTTCCTAAATTGCCATAAATCCGGCTTCTATTCCCTATTTCATTATTTTTTTGCGATAAATCCAGATGCACTATTTGAAATCAGTGATATGATACGATGAATTGGTGTAGAAATGCTACCATCTATGTGCTCCTCTAAAAGATGGACTTTTTATGGACTTGGCTGATCGAGTTGACCATTAAAAAGAGCAGAAATTAAAATATAAGTTTAGAATCTCCCTTTTAATGCCAGGTTTACTCTAGTGGAATGATATAGCCGTATCAATCATATCTAATCCCAACCGAAGCAGTAGACTATTCGTCTATTAAATTTTATTCTATTTAATCTGATTAGTTAATCTTTTTTTTGATCTTTCTACAACAAAATAACGTAGCAAATAACAAAAATCATTTACGATTAACTGTAATGAAGAAAAACTCGTTTGATTCCGACCAAGGCAAAGTAAAGGTAGTACAATTTATAAAATATTTTGATATCAGTTCAAAAAGACAATACTGAGATGATAAAGCAAATTTGAAATTGCAAATTTCGGGATAATTTTAATTCACATGCGGTTATTTGCAAAAAATATGGTTGATTGTTATCTATTTTTGCAAAATACATGGATTGTTTTTATCGTGTCAGAAGATATTATCATGCAAACTTTTCGACAATGATATTTTCAACTGAGGATTTTGGCAAAAACAGATGGTCATTTTTTTTAAAACTCTCATATTTCTCCGAATAATAAATTTATTTATGTCATAATCGCATTAAAATAAACAGGTATAATGACACTAAATTCAGATAAATTTTATCCTTCGTATTAATCAACGATATATACCATACGATTTATTTATGCATAATAATAATATTTATATGGAGCCAAAACAGATTCAGTTGAGTTTTTCAGATGATATATCTGACGGACAATCATCTTCATTTAAGAATATTTATTTATGAATGCAAGAATATAGGCTAAACGCCGATAAATCTT